CTGGCAGAGCTTCCATTCTGAGGATGCTGAGCACACACTTACCTGCACAAGCAGGTGCTATGTCAGCAGCAGCACTGAAACTGGACTGAGACCTGAGGGCTGAGAGAGGGCCGGCCGTACAGAGCTGGAGGGAAAGGTCGTCTTTCAACAGCAGGAACAAGGCCCTGCCTTGTGTGTGTGCCTGGATCCTGTGCGCACAGCGTGGGGTTCTGTGTCCAGTCCCACACAATTGGGTGCTGTGCACAGAGAAACCTTTGTTGCAGAGTCTCAGCAGTGTGGAGGACAAGTGGCAAAGAACCAGGGATTCAGCAGGCCTGACCTGGCCGAAGTTGAATGGTTGAGGGACAAACTCCTGCCAGCCAAAGTCCCTCTCCTGCCATTCTTTTTTTTTTTTCTAAAGATTTATTTATTTTTATTAGAAAGTCAGATATACAGAGAGGAGGAGAGACAGAAAGAAAGATCTTCCATCCACTGATTCACTCCCCAAGTGGCCGCAGCGTCCGGAGCTGAGCCAGTCTGAAGCCAGGAGCCTCTTCCGGGTCTCCCATGCAGGTGCAGAGTCCCAAGGCTTTGGGCCTTCCTCGACTGCTTTCCCAGGCCACAAGCAGAGAGCTGGAAGGGAAACGGGGCTGCCAGGATTAGAATTAGCACTCATATGGGATCCCTTAGTGTTCAAGGTGAGGACTTTAGCCACTAGGCCACTGTGCCATGCCCCCTCTCCCTGCCATTCTTTCCTGGCAACATTTCCTGCCTCCTTAGGAGCAAATGGTTACATCAGCCTCAGCCTCTTGCAGCTTTTTAGATCAGAACTGATGGACCATCGAGACAGTTATGTATTGGTCCAGATGTGGGAAGAAGGGACAGATCTTCCAAATCTGGATTTCTTTCAGGAGGTCAAGGGAGGCACAGATCCAGATTCCATGTTGACATAAAGACACTTCCCACTGGGAAGCGGGGACAGCCTCCCCTTCCTGTCACAGCCCCTGGAGACAAAGCTGAACAGATTCAGCTGAGGGCCTGGTCCAGGGCACGTGCTCTTCCTCTCACTTCTGCTGTCATCATCTGGTCTTTCTGGTCAGGTCCCCAAATCCAGTCCTTTCCATTCCTTCATTTTAAAACTAATCTCTTGTGTCTACTGTGCGTCAGGGCCTGTGCCTGGAGCTGGCTACCAGAGAAATAGCCCACAGATTCCATTTTGGAGGTGCTTAGTAAGAGGTGGGAGTGACCTGCAGTAGAGTCATAGTGCAGTGTGCCTGCCTTCAGATCCCAGCACCACCACTTTCGCACTGTGTGGCCTTGTGCCATGTGCCTCTTGTTCCCCTCTGTGCACCATTTCCTCACAGAAAGGATGAGACTAGCCACAACACTGAGCTCACGGGAGTCCCATGGCAGTGGAACGAGTTAGAATAAATCAGGCAATGGGAGTGTTACCTGGCGCATTATAAGGCTTATTGAACAATTTGCACACCTGTCTGTGTAACAGATTTGGAGACTAGCAAGTTGAGTGTCACAGAGCCAGCCCTAGGGGAACACTTGCTTCTGGCTTCCTTGGCTCTGACCTCGGACCGCTGTGGGTGGGAGTCTTGGTGAGCAGGCTGCAGTGGTCCCCAGCCCTTCCCAGTGGACAGTGACCTGAGCAGGGATGACAGTTGTTGAGCATGTCAGTGTGCAAAGGGGGACAAAGGAGGTTTGGGAGAGGAAGCCCTCCCCCAAGAAGCTGGGCTGGGGAGTGGCTTGGAAGGAACATGTTTGCTGAGTGAGAGGTTCGGGTTGGGTGTCAGATATCTCAAGTGGCTTGCCCATTGTAGCACAGTTGTGTGCATGGAAGATGTGAAGTGCTCTCCGTCCAGTAGGATGGGAACAGGTAGATAAATTGCACTTTTTTCCATACAAAATGGAAAATATTAAGAGAAATTAATGTGACCCCGTGACCTACACAGCTGTGGTGGTCAAATCTCTGATCCATGAAGTTGAATTAAATTATATGCAAGATGACAAGTAATGGTGAGAATGCTGGCCAGAGTTTCCCCAGAGCCTTCTACATGCCACGCACTGCTTTAAATGCTTTGCTGGTGTTAATCCATTGAATCTTCTCATCAGCCCTATAAATAGACAGGTAATTGGCTGATGATGCTAATCATTTAACTCTATCAAGTCATTGTGTTGTCTACTTGGCATACAACTCTGAAAAGGAAAAAAAACCCTGCCTTCAAAGTAGGGCTTGTTATCAGCTCAGTGATATCACAGATGTGAAAACAGAAGTCAAGTTATCTATGCATATAAAGCAAGTGTAAGTGTAAGAACACTTTAGAGGGCAGGAGAAGGAACTGTCCTTCAAGTGTGTATTTTTGTTGTTTTTGTTTTTGTTTTAAATCAAACAATGGGCCTGGTGGCATGGCCTAGGGGCTAAAGTCCTCCCCTTGAACACACCGGGATCCCATATGGGCGCCAGTTCTAATCCCAGCTGCTCCACTTCCCATCCAGCTCCCTGCTTGTGGCCTGGGAAAACAGTAGAGGATGGCCCAAAGCCTTGGGACCCTGCACCCATGTTGGGATACCTGGAAGAAGTTCCTGGCTCCTGGCTTCAGATCGCCATAGCACCAGCTGTTGTGCTCACTTGGAGAGTGAATCATCAGACAGAAGATCTTCCTCTCTGTGGATTTGCTGCTTTTCCCTTGTGGTTTAAAATATTTCTTTTTTTTTTTTTCTAAAGATTTATTTATTTTTATTGCAAAGTCAGATATACAGATATACAGATATACAGATATACAGAGGAGGAGAGACAAAGAGGAAGATCTTCTGTTCGATGATTCATTCCCCAAGTAACCACAACGGCCGGTGCTGTGCTGATCCGAAGCCAGGAGCCAGGAAGTTCCTCCACGGGGGTGCAGAGTCCCAAGGCTCTGGGCTGTCCTCAACTGCTTTACCAGGCCACAAACAGGGAGCTGGACGGGAAGTGGAGCTGCCGGGATTGGAACTGGCGCCCATATGGGATCCCGGCACATTCAAGACAAGGACTTTAGCTGCTAGGCCATGCCGCTGGGCCCTAAAATGTTTCATAATTGTTACTTGAAGGTTTTATTGAGGTATTTGGATATCTGCTTGCAGTTCTAAGAAATAATTCCCAGAGTTTCTAGTTACCTTTCACCCAATTTCCTGTCAATGGGAACATTTCATAAAATTGCAGTGCAGTATCAAGACCAGGATATGGACATTGATACAATGTGCCCGTCTGACTCTGATTTCCTGTTTTACTTGTACTCTGTGCCTGTCTGTGTTGGGGTACAATGTGTCACCCCCACCCCCACCCCGCCCAGCCCACACACATGCATGGCCACACCTACCCACCTCTCTCCTCTCCCCTGCACTCCTGTGAGCCTCCTTGCAGTTCCTGGGGCACACTACACCTGTCCCCCCTCACACCCTGGACCCCTACTAGTCCTTCTGTCACACCTGCAAACAGCTGCTCACCCCATCCCCCACAGGAGTCAGATCTCAGCAAAAAACGCTCCTGCTTTGGCAGGGGCTTCTCTGATCACTCAGAAAGCTGTGCCGGCTCATGCCCTGAAGTTACTCCTTGGGACATCACTGCCTTATGGTTTTCTCTCTTTTAAATTAATTTAATTGGAAAAGCAGATTTATAGAGAGAAGGACAGAGAGAAGGATGTTCTATCTGCCGGTTCACTCCCCAAGTGGCTGCAACGGCCAGAGCTGAGCCAATCCGAAGCCAGGAGATCACGTGGTCTCACACATGGGTGCAGGGTCCCAATGCCTTGAACCATCCTTTATTGCTTTCCCAGGCCACAAGCAGGGAACTAGAAGGGATGCGGATCAGCCAGGATACGAACTAGTGCCTATATGGGGTCCCAGCACATGCAAGGCGAGGACTTTAGCCACTAGGCTACCACATCCAGCCCTGTTGCACCTTTTTCTCGTGGGGGCAACTCGGGTTGTTTCCAGTTGCAGGCCACTCTGAGCACGGCTGCTGTGAATATTCTTGTCCCAGTCTGTGTGCGGATGGGTTTCCTTCTTTCTGGCCTGGATGCCCAGAGTCCTGTGCTGAGTCACATGGCTGCAACATGTCTGCTTTTTCACGAAGCTGCCTGCCAGGCTGTTTTCCAGGGTGCCCGGACCTGAATCCTGCATGGAAGAAGAGGAGTTTGGCTAACAGGGTCAGATATTCAGGACATAGGGAAGAAGTATGCAGACAGCTGCAGTTGAAATTCACAGGACTTAGTCAATTCAAAGGACAGCAAGAAGTTTCTCAGCTCTGGGGTGGAGTATGGGTTGAGCTGAAGAGGCAACGTGGCTTTGCTGTGCAGGCAGGCAGTAGACACGCATCTGCTGAGTTCTTCGCGGTGCATGCCAAGCTCTGCTCCAGGCTCGGTGGAGGCCTGAGCCCAGCAGAGGAGACAAATGTGACATGATCAGCCGGTGCCCAGTGTGTGAAGGAGAAGGCAGAGTCTGCAGACAGGAAATAGTAGCAGGGCAGGGCTCGTACCTGTCTCGTTATTCCCCAGGACCTGGCATAGAGAAGGCCATCCATGAATGTTGAGGAGTGATCTAATCCAGTGTACACAGTCCCTTTGAGCGGGAGCCAGCCATTGCCTTTGTAAGCAGCTGCATGTCCCAGGCCCGCCGTGTGGGTAAAAGGGCAAAGGCTTGGCCCAGACGCCCCACCCTGGGGTGAATTACTGCACCATGGATTGGAAACCAACAGACTGGAATGCTCTACTGTAAATTTTTAATTGTTAAACAAGCAGAGAGGGCTGTAAATGCCGTGTGGCAGGACAGGGTTGCATATTGTGTCTGTTGCCGCCACCCATGGTTTCTTATCAGCCCGTTGGGATTTCACAACCTCTCGTGCTTCTTGCATGTTCCTGGGGCCCTCCACAGGGTCTCTGGGACGTGGTGCAATGCCATCCTTTATCCTATGGCATTGGCAGCCAGGCTGTCTGCCTGCTGTGTCTGACTTGCCCCCATTCCCTTCTCGTGCCTAGATTTTCCCCGGAGGAACATCCAGTGCTCGCTCTGCCGGGAGCCCCAGCCCAGTTCCCCGTCCTGGAGGAGCACCGGCCTCTCCAGCGGTACATGGTGTGGTCTGACGAGATGGTGAGGACCGGGGAGGTTCACATCCGCACGCACCTCATCCGGCCGTACGTGGGCATCCATCTGCGCATCGGCTCTGACTGGGTAACTGCCCTCTTCTCTCACTGGCACGCTTGCACTGTCCCTGAGCAGAGCCCACGCCTAGAAGGGTTGTCCTCAAGTGCCAGCTAAGGCCACAGAATCTCACTTGGCCAACAACGTAAGGTTGTGTCCCCGTAACTCTACACACTCTACAGTGTGGAGCTCTACAGTGCTTGCAGATTTATTTATTTTTATTGCAAAGTCAGATAGAGGAGGACAGACAGAGGAAGATCTTCCATCTGATAATTCACTCTTCAAGTGGCCACAATGGCTGGAGCTGCGCAAGTCTGAAGTTAGGAGCCAGAAAGTTCCTCCAGGTCTCCCATGCGAGTGCAGGGTCCCAAGGCTTTGAGCTGTCCTTGACTGCTTTCCCAGGCCACAAGCAGGGAGCTAGATGGGAAGCAGGGCTGCCAGGTTAGTACCAGTGCCTATATGGGATCCTGGTGCATTCAAGGTGAAGACTTTAACCATTAGGCTATCACGCTGGGCTCCCCAACTCTCATTTTAACAGCTACCTTGTTTTCCCTATTTTTTTTTTCACAATGCAAAGACACACAGAGAAACAGGCAAAGAACTCCTGTCTGCTGGGCCACTCCCTTCATATGCACAATAGCCAAGGCTATTTTCCTACACGTAAAAACAGCAGTTCCAAAGGAGATACATAGATATTTTGGAAATGCTCTTTGTTGAAAACTTGAAAAATGCTGAAACATACAGACATTAGATTAAAATCTCATTTAGCCTGTGGACAAGGGAATCTCACATTTACTCAGGAGCTTCCACCCGCGTCCTCCTGCACAGAGGAAAGGAGCTAGAATGTTTTGAGTGGTTGAAGTCAGGCATTCAAAGAATACATAATGCCCTCTTTACTTTCCTAGAACATAAAAAGATAAAAGTGCTATAATAAAGCTAGCATAAATAGAACTACTACCAAACTCAGGGCAAGTTCACGCAGAAAATTATAACCTGGTCCAATTATGAACATAGCTGCAAAAATCCGAGGTAAAATATTATCAAGCACAGTGTAATAATACAGTCAGAAACACAGCACAGACAAGTCAAATCCATCCCAGAAATGTGATAAAATTCATTCAATTAACACTGAAAGAATGTAAAAAAAAAAAAAAGCATGGGATCATCTCAGTAGGGGATTAGAAAACATTTGATAAAAGTTAACACCCATTCATGATAAAAACACAGACCCAGTCAGGAATAGACTGGACCCACCTTAACTTGATAAAGGTTATCACTCTGAAACTCATAGCAAACAGTGTTCTAAGAATCAGATAAGCCTGCCTCTTATCACCAGGACTGGTCAGAATTCTGCTGGAAGTTCCAGATAATGCTGGAAGGCCAGGAAGAAAAGCTGCTGGGGGTTTTTTTGTTGTTGTTTTGTTTCTTGTTTTGTTTGGTTTGATTTGGTTTTTTTGCATAGGCAATATCCTGTCACCTAGGTACATCCAATGTTAATTGTTTTGGTACATTTCCCCGCTTCCATCAAAGCATTTCTAAAAAATATAGTTGGGCACCTGCTGCCTAAACTTTTTCTGATCACTTGCTCTTCAACTAGGGTTCCAAGGCAGCTGCTGGTCTTTAACTATTCTCCACATCTCTTGCCTGCAGAAGAATGCCTGCGCTATGCTGAAGGACGGGACAGCAGGCTCGCACTTCATGGCCTCGCCACAGTGTGTGGGCTACAGCCGCAGCACTGCAGCACCACTGACCATGACCATGTGCCTGCCCGACCTCCAGGAGATCATGCGAGCCGTTAAGCTCAGTGTGAAGGCCCTTGATGCCCAGTCCGTCTACATCGCCACGGATTCTGAAAGTTACGTTCCGGAGATCCAGCAGCTCTTCAATGGGAAGGTATGCCCTGGGGCCACCAGGGAACAGCACGGTGGAGTCGGGGAAGGCAAATGCTGGGGGCGCTCCTGATTGTGCTGCAGCCTCTTGCCTGGATGCCCAGTTCTCCAGTTCCTGCCCGCCCTTCCAGCTGCACTTCAGATGTGTCCTCCACGGAGTCATTCCAGGTTTTCCTCCACTTCAGTACCGCTCACAGCACCTCATGACTTCTGCTCTTGCACTGATTTCTTGAGTTGTGGAGGAGCAGGTCTTTATACCTTCCCAGAAGCTGTGAATCCTTGAAGGCCAGGTTCCAGGCTGTGTCCCTCAGCTTGCTCAGCATGCAGCTCAGAGCTCTGAGCCATGGAGGCTAAGAACTGCCTTGCCATCCGCGGTGTTTTGCAGTGCCTGGCACAGAGGAAACAGTGGGGTGTTTTGGAATAAGGACATAGAGTAGGCCCTGGGGAGAGAGCAGCACAGCAGAGCTGTCAGGAGCAGGGTCTCCAGGGCCAGGGCACGTTGGTTCTGCTCACTCTGCAGCCTTGCCAAGGTGACTGGCTTTTCTCTGAGTCTGCAGAATCAGATGAAATGGTACTTACTCACAGGAAGATTGTGAAGCCTGTGTGTTGAGATGTTACAGCAGTTCCCTCTCCAGAATAAGTGCTCAGTCAAGCTAGCTGTCAGTAGAAATAGGTAGTTGACACACAAAGGGAAGGATCATTTGTGCTTAGTAAATGCTTAAGGGAAGGGGATTGTTAGATTCGCCGCTGGCCAAAATGTTAGATTCGCTGACCACCAGGGAAAGAATAACTCAGCCAAATATATGAAAAGAATTTAGATGGCCTTTATTTCAGGGAACCATGGTCACGGGCTTCCCTTCCCCGTGCAGCAGGAAGACACGTGTGAAGGAGTGGACTGCAGAGGAAGAAGAGCGCAGAAGAGACAGGGAAGGGGCCTTTTCAAGCTCTCCTTGACATGGAAGCCAAAACGGGTCGCCTCGGCCCTTATTGGTCGGGGGACATGGGTCTGTGCCCCTCATTGGTGCAATGGTGGTCTCACCGCCTGAGGGGCGCACCAGAATTCTGCCATCCATTCTGGGTTTGGTTGGAGGCAAATTCTATCCTTTACGGTTGTAGCCTTCAGGAATTATAGGTTTTCAATACATAAAACATGAGCAGAATGTGCTTGGTAAGGAGCTGCAGGATCCGCGAGACTAGGCAGTAATGATGAGTACGGTGAGTGAAGTCATCAACGGTGTGCAGCAAAACTCTGCTGAATGAATGAAAGCGGGAAGTGCTGTGCAGTCCTGAAGAGGCAGCCGTTGGAGGCACCCCTGACTTGTGTTGAGTGGCTCCCCTTCTCCCTGTACCCCAGACAGAAATGGAAGCTTCTACTGAGACGGAAAGTGCCGAGTTGCTTAGAAAATCAGAACTGGGGAACCTCAGGGTCCTGCACTTTATAGCCAAGGAAATCAGAATGACAAGCAGGGAGAGAATTTACTCAAGAGGTTCCAGAGCTAATTATAGTGGGCATGACACAGAACTCATAAGTTTCAGGGCCAAGGTGGGATTCTTGGGGGGATTTTGGCCATGATTAACTGGTACTACTTCTTTGCTGCAATCCACATAGCAAAGTGATGGGTTTGTGATGTCAGAAATCTCTGTGGAACAGCAAAGCGCCTTCAGTCCCATCTCTGCCCCTCACCTCCCAGCCCCACCCCCTGCTATACTAAGTTGAAGCATTTGGAGAGTCCCAGGGAGTTTTTTTGTTTTTTTTGTTTTTTTGTTTTTTTGAGTTTTTACAGCAGTTATTTTTGCAACACCCTGAACTTCTTGCCATTTTCAATTTCCTGTTCCTATGCCCATCTTTTTTTTTTTTAATTTCTAATTTTTAAAAAATATTTACATAGTTGAGAGGGATGCGTTCCCATGTGGGCCTCTGATTAGGGTGAGAGGCCCTAGTATGGAAGAGGTGGGTGGGACATGTTTAATTTTTTTTTTCTCCTGTGTCTGCAGAGGAGGAGGAAGAGAGGGTTGTTCCTTGCTGTCAACTACATCAGCACCCAGGGATGGGAGACAGTCATTTTATGACACCTGAGGGATGTCGATGTGGGGAAGGGCATTCTTAGTTTGTTACTTGAGTGGTTTTGATAGTTCTCAGAAATTGTTGATTTTGTTGCTCCAGGGTTGAGAAGATCATCCCAAGGTCTATATTGGTTTACAAAATCTATCTTAGTACATCCTCAGACCCACAAGCAGGCTTTGTATCCTTTGGCAAGGCAGTCAGTGTCTGCTGCTAGTCTATGTGTCCCCCCACATGCATCTGACCATGCTGTCCACTACACAGGTATCAGCAGCCAATCAGCCCAGTCCCAGTACATGCATTTCAATGTCAGGTCACACATCCTGTGATTTTTTGGGATGGCTGGGTCTGAGTCCAGCAGTCTATTTGGGGAGTCCCCCCCAACTATCCTTGTTTAGGATGACCTCAGACTTGACTCTTATGTGCACTAGCCAGTGCAGGGTCAGATTTAGTCTGTCACCTGCACCAGCCTATGTGTATACCAGTGGATGCAGCTGCCTGGTCAGTTCTGTTACAGCCTCATATCTCACATGAATCTATGGGTGCTGCTGCACAGCCCAGCTAGCCCTCCACGGCCAGGTTGGGACAACCCCAATAACTCCTGACCAGGCCTGTGTCCTTTTTTTATTTCTTTTTTTTTTTGCATGTGCCAATCTCTGCTGATGCCTAGCCCAGCCCATCCCATATCCCATCTTGTTCTCGTGCACACCATGGGTGCTGCACCTTAGCTTAGCCTAACCTGTCCCTATCCCCAGCCTTTACATATGCTGACAGATGCTGCCACCTTATCCAGCCTGACCCACCCCCAGTTCCAGTTCTCAGGCTCACCAGTGGAAGCAGCGGCCCAGCAGGGGAGCCCTGGAGGTTCCCCTACTAGGCCCACTCCCAGCCCTGGGTCTTGTGTATGCCAGCAGGTGCTTCAATCCAGTCTGAGATGTCCTGTCCCAGCCTCGGCATTCAGCAGAAGATGGCTACAGCCTGGCTTAAGCTAGCCCACCCGCAGTCCAACTCTGGCCAGCAGGTGTAGTTAGCCCAGCCTGGCTCCACTCCCAGTCCCACCCTTCATGTGAACTAGCAGGTGTTGTGATCCACCCATCCTGGTTCTCATTCATGCCAGTGTGTGCTGTGGACTGACCCTGCACAGCCTGGTCTGGCCTGCTCCCAGCTCCAGCTCTTGTGCTTACCAGTGGGGTCTTTGACCTAGCATGGATGTTCCCCAAGTTCCCTTACCAAACCCATTCCCAGCCCCAGATCTTGCAGGTGCTGCTGCCCAGACTGACATGGCTGGTTCCCAGTCCTGGCACTCATCAGTGGGTATTGTGGTCTAGCCTAACTGGTCCACACCCATTCCACCTTACCAATCAATGGGTGCTGCAGCTGAGCCCAGCCTGACTTACTTCCAGACCTGGCTCTTATGTGGCCCATTGGGTGCCTGGCATGTCCCACACTCATTCTGGCTCTTGCGAGAACCAGTGGGTGCTAGAGCCTAGTCCAGTCTGGCCTGTCCCCAAACCCAACCCAACATATATGCCATTGAGTATTTCAGCCTTGCCCAGCCTGGTCCATCTACAGTCCCAGCTCTTATACCCACCTGTGGGAGCTGCAGCCCAGCACAGAAGTCCTGAGTTCCCATACCAGGCCCATTCCCAGCCCTGGGTCTTACACATGCTGGCAGTTGCTTCAACGCAGCCTGGAATGATCTGTCTGCATTTTCAGCTTGTGCTGGTGGGAGTTACAACCTAGCCCAGCTCAGCATGGCCCACACTTTGTCCTAGCTCTTGTGGGTGCTAGCAGGTACTGTGGCCTGGACTTGCCCACTCAGATCCAGTCTACACACATGCTGACGAGTGCTACAGTCTGGCCTGGTCTGGCCTGCCCCTGCTCCCAGAGGGAGCTGGGGCCTGGCAGGGGTGTTTCCCAAGTTGCCCTATCAGGTCTCTTCTGAGCCCTGGATCCCATGTGTGGCAATGGGGACAGCAGCCCTGCTTGGCGTGTTCTATCCTCAGTCCCAGCCTTTGCATATGCCAGCAGGTGTCTCAGCCTGACCTCCTCCCAGCTCTAGCTGTCAGGTGGGTTCCTGTTATGTGAGTTCTGTAGTCCAGCTGGCTTAGTCACCACCCACTGCTCTCCATGTAGACCAGCAGGTGCTGCGGTCCCATGAGGCAAGCCCAAAAGTTCCTTACAGAATCTGCCCCCAAATCCAGTTTTCTCACATTCGGATAGGTGCTGTGCCCCAGTTTGATGTGAACCCGCTCCCTGCTCTGACACTCCTGGGCAGGTACTGCAGCCCAGCCCAGACAGGCATGCCGCCTAGCCCCAGCTTTTGCACATACCAGTGGGTGGCAGGAAGTGCTGTTTAGCTCAGCCCAGGTCTTCATTGTGGGCAGGTGCCTTGGCCTGACCCAGAAATGCCCTCCAGCTTTTCCCCTCTAAATCATTCCATTTTAGCTCCCTTGCCTGCTTCCAAATACAGTAACCTAGTCTGTGGGAGACCCCCGAGTCATTCCTCCCCTGCCAAACGTGCCCTCAGTCGTTCCCACTCCGGTAGGTCCCCAGACCTCTTTCCCTAGGCAATCTGTAGTGGGACAAAAGTTGTATGCCCCAGCCTGGCATTCCTAGCCTTCCCTACATATCTTAAAAAAATAATAATAATAAAAACGAAAAAAAGGAAAAGATAAACAGCGAAAGCAACTATGCTGGCATACTGGTATAGTTAACACAAATTTGGCATTAACCAGGCCCAAAATGCCCACCATCTACTGGCTGTTTTTCTCCCAGCAGTGTAACACTTACCTAGGTACAAGACAACCTAGGCATTTGCCTTCAGCTGGGGACCTGTGCCCTTCCTATATACCCCTCCCCCTCCACAGCCCCCTTCTCCATGGTCCCACCCTTCCTGTTGAACTGAGCCTTGATCTTCTGTTAAGCCAGGCCAGTGCTGTCAGGGGTGTTCGTAAACAGGACATGACCTCTCCCTCCAGGGCTCTCCAGCCAAGACCCAGGAAGAGATGGTGACCATGCAGAGAACTGTGCCATGCTCAGAAGTGGGGCAGTGGCTAGCAGGTTCCCTCCCTTCATTGGACTGCCAATCAGATTTACTGAGACAGCCTTTGTGCTGGACCTGGTCAGCCTGGGAGAGCAGACAGCCACATCTCTGCTCCCAGTCAGGTACATGAGATAGTGTTAACCAAAGAATCACAAGGTGCTCCAAGTAGAGCCATAGGTTCAGTGAGAGCATAGAGCGAAAGACTCCACCCTGACCAAGGGGGCCAGGGAGAGCTTTCCCTCGGGAGCTGATATGTGAGGAATAAGTAAGTTAACCAGGTTGAGAGAAGTGGACCCACATGGACCAAAAGGTACAAAGAAGGAAGAGGAAAGAACGTGGGTGGGGTGGAGGCGGGTAGGGGCTAGAGCCCAAGGACTGCTAGGTGAAGTCAGAGACCACCTGGGCACAGCCTTGTGGAGTGTGTTCCTGATTTGTTGTCTCTCTGCAGGGTGGGGGAGGTCACATTCAAGAATGTTCAGCTTGAGGGAGCTTGGAAGGACAGGGCTTGGAAGTGTCTTAGAAGGTTCTGTGTGGCTTCGTGGTGAGCAGAGCAGGGGAGCTTTGATGGGATCATGAGGAGGCTGTTGTAGTTGACCAAGCAAGAGAAAGGTTCACTTTGGGGGAACAGATTGAACCAAACACTGGGCTTGGCATTGCAGACTGGATGAGTGAGGTAGTTTGGTCCGATCGCAGTTCTGTGGTTGGGAAGCTCATCAGACTTGGACTGCAGGGTTTGAGCTGAGCCTGCAGAACCCTTTCAGGGTGCTGATGGATGAAGAAAAGGCACTACAGCCAGAGGGAGCCATGCAAGGGCTAGCAGGGTGCTCAGAACTGGGGCTGGAGGCAGGAAGAGGAGGTGGGCTGGGCACCTGTGCCCACCACATCAGCCTCTCCACTCCTCCTCCGGTGTCCATAACCTCGGCTCAAGGGGCGAAGATCAACAATGTGGCTGCTGCTGGCCTTGACAGGGCCGCCTGCTTGGCCCACAGCCAGCCTTGCTGATAAGCTCTGCCCTTCCTCCTGCAGGTGAAGGTAGTGAGCCTGAAACCCGAGGTGGCCCAGGTTGACCTGTACATACTGGGGCAAGCCGACCACTTCATCGGCAACTGTGTTTCCTCCTTCACCGCCTTTGTGAAGCGAGAACGGGACCTCCAGGGGAAGCCATCGTCTTTCTTCGGCATGGACAACCCCCCCCAGCTGCGGGATGAATTCTGATCCTGGGCAAAGCATGTGTGCAGGTTGAGTTGGTGTCTCCCTGGCCAGGCCTGGCAGCCAGGGGTACTCCCAGAGCACAAGCCTCCCCTCTGGCATGCCCGAGATGGAGGAAGGAACACGTCCTGTCTCCCAGGCTGCTGGGAGCCAGCATATCTCCCCTCCTGCCCTTCCTGCTGTTTCTCCAGACATTCTTCACGTCTGCAAAGCAGCCCAGCCTCTCGGTTGGCCATGCTCTGAGCAGCCTGCAAGACCGAACTCTTTGGAGATGTGTGTGTGTGCGTGTGTACATATATACATAGAAAGATTTTTATAGTTTTGATACAAGGCCATGAATATGCTGGAACTCTCCCTCTTTGTGAAGAATCAGCAGAATCCATTCATTTTAGTACCAAAAGTGACCTTAACTGAATGTGGAGGAAGAAGCCACTTTTCCCAGGTGGCCCTCCCACTGACCTGCAGCGCCTGGCCAGGGCAATGGTTGTCACTTGCTTCCCCAGGCTGTGTCTCAGCCCTGCTGGCCCCACATCTTGGTGCAACACAGTGCTCTGAGAGTGGCCAAATGGTGCCCACATGGCACATTCCCCATGGGGAACACATGCCAGGAAGCCAGAACCTCAGGGTCCTGGGATGACCGCCACACACCTGGCAATGCCAAGGTCTCTGAATATATCACTGGGGGCTAGGGTTTCCTGGGCTGGCAGGGGCCGTGGGTGGTAGAATACTGCCTCTTGAGTTGATATCTGTAGCATGTTCCCCTCCCAGACCCCACCCTGCAGCTGGAACCCTCAGACCAAATTATCATGAGGGAGTATGTGCTAGGCTTCTGACCACATACAAGATGCTCCAGCTCCAGGAACCATCGGAGTTGTCGTTTAGAAGCAGCTTTTGCCCCTTCCCATGTCAGCTCAGCCAACACTGTGAGATGTTAGGTATATTCCATATCGTATGTTTGTCTCTGTGAGCTGGGCCCAGACCTGTGTACAAAGCCTTCTCCCGATTACCTTGGGGAGGAAGTGCTTTCTTTGTCTGAGATGAACTGGGTCGGAGGTCAGAGGCTGCAGGATGTCAGGTTCTTCACCCAAGTTGGCATTTGCTGCTTGGAGCTGCTGCCCAAGAAAGAGATACTTGCAGAAAGGGCTCTTTCGCTTACCCTCCTGAGGCAGCGGGAATGTGTGGCAATCCTGGCTGGACCTTGAGATGCTGGTTGATCAACCCGGACTTGCTCTTTTTTTTTAAAAGATTTATTTTATTTTTGTTGGAAAGGCGGATATACGGAGAGGAGAGAGAGAGGAAGATCTTCCTTCCAATGATTCACTCCCCAGGCGGCCGCAATGGCTGGAGCTGAGCCAATCCGAAGCCAGGAGCCTCTTCCAGGTGTCCTGCCACCACGCCGGGTCCAACCCAGACTTGCTCTTAAGCCCTTGCCCAACGAGGGGGCTGCACACAGTGGGACCTAGGCGCTCCCTGCCTGCCTCAGGTGCCTGAGAGAATGTGGCCCTCTGGCTGTTGTAGTTTCTGCCTTCATTGGCGATTCACAGCCTCACCAAGTCTGTGCTTTAGACTCGGGCTCCATTGGGCCATCTGAAGCCATGTGGATCAGCTGCTCCCTAATTCTACCTTGGGCTCAGAGAGGAAGGGCATCCGAGCCCCCTTCAGATTCAGTTCTCTCTTGTGGGCAGGCATGACACCCCTTGACCGTGGTTTCCCTTCTAACTGACAGCTGTTGAAAGGCTCAAATCAGTTAAAGTGTGAGTGTGTGTGTATGTGTGCATTATAAACTTGAACGAGACAAAGGCCCATGTGTGGGCTGCTGATAATCTGACTGCCTCCTGTTGTACACCTGTTCTCTGCCAGGCTCTGAGTTTGCAGAGTGATTCGTGGGCATTCTGTTGTCCTCGTGAAGTAGGAACTGCTGTAGATGCTGCTGTTTCTGCACAAGGGAAAAAAATGTAAATGTTCAGAGGATGCTTGTAACTTTTCCCCAAGGCCACCCAGCTGGTGACCTTAACCTTGAACCAGGATCTGACCTCCCAGAGTCAGCCCCCTTGGCTCCCTCTGGGTCAGAGAACGTGGCGTGGAGGGATGGAGGTCTCAGACAGAAGAGCCACCCACCCCCAACCCCCAGCTCAGCGTCCACCAAGGCACGTGCTCTGAGCCTGTGGCTGCCAGGCTTCTGGAGGGGTAGGTCACTCAGGAAATGGGAAACCCATCTTGGAAGCTCTCAGGCCTTCAGGTAGTCACGTAGTTCAACATTCTCTAGGATAACAGGCATTTATCAGGGTCCTGCTGTGTAGCAGGCCCTTCACTAGGTAGGAGGGATGCATCCGAGAATCAGAGAATGGGAAACATAATAAGCCAGTGTGCCCTGGGAGGAGTCAAGGGAGAAATTCTAGGAAGGAGTGAGCAGCCTGATGGGTGGGGGAGAGTGCCATTTCAGATAAGCGACTATTAGGGAGGGAGGAGTCAGATGGCTGGAGGCAGCGCCTCCCCACAGAGAATACAGCCTCAGTGCCCTAAAAACAGCGGGGAGGTGAGCAAAGGGAGGCATGGGAAATGGCTGATCAAGTCCAAGTGCCAAGTGCGCAGGGCCTCAGCCACCTGGAGAGTCAGTGAGTGACGATTTGGATTCCTACAAGAAGGCTCAGAAAGCTGCCCACTTAGAAGGACCCCTCTGGATGGCCCCTGGCAGGGTCAGAGCAGAGGCCTGGAGGGGCTGTCTCATGAGTGCGGTGAGAGGGCCCAACCTTCCAGCACTCCCCAACCCTCCAGTTTACAACTAGTCCTCCTCCCAATAAGCAAGGGCTGTTTGCTGGAACTCAGTAGGAGAGGGACAGATCCTGAATGTGTAAAATCATTTTCACATTTCAGGCTCTGTTAAAGATACCAATTTTTACATAGTCTTAATCATGCAGTATATATATATATAAAATTCAGTGTCCTGGCTTTTTTATGTGCGGGTATATCATGTTTTCCCTCTTGGTACAAGCCTGAATAAATGCTTTTAATTACATAAAATTCCACTGAGAGTATTATTTTATCATTTTCCTATTAAGAGATTTTAAAATGTTCCCCATTTTTCACTGTTGATATCAGAAAAATGATTTTGTTAAGGTTTTTAATCTTAAACTGTCCATTAAGATAAATTCCCAGAAGCGTACTTACTAGGTCAAATACTCAACATTTTATTATGGAAAAATTCAAATATGCATTAAAATTGTGAGTAATAAAATGAACTCACAGTTTCAACAACTATCAACCTTTTACCAGTCTCCTTTTATTTGCTCTCCCACCCTAAGGTCTGTTTGCCAGAGTTTTAAAAATAATCCACACCAACAGGATTTGCTGACGTAGTGGGTAGGGGCTGGGAGGGGAGAGAAGTTTGAGGAAGCTGGGAGTTGTCCCTTGCTTGCAGAGTGACATCAACTTAGGGCAGACCACTCAGCTGCCTGCATTTCACTTCTACATCTCAGGACCCTAAAGCTGACCCCTCATTTCCCCACACATCACAAATGCTAATGGAAAGGGAGACAGCTGGTTCTTCCAGGAGCTGGTTGATGCAGCAGAGCCCCAGGAACCACCCAAATCCTGGGGAGCCACTGTCTCCTGGGAAGGGCCCTGGAATCTGCATTTTCACAAGCACCTCTGAGTGAGTTTTGGTGATTGTGATGGTGGTCCTTGGCCTCTGGCCAGCAGCAACATCACCTAGGGGGGAGTGGGGAGAGGAGACACTTGTTAGAAGTGCCTACTCCCAGGCCTGGGCCCAGACTTGCTGTGCCCCAGGAGCAGCCTATAGGAGAGGAAGGCTACTGGAGGAAGAAGAGACCAGCTGGCTTTCCACTGTGGGTGCGCTTGAGAGGAACTCGGGGAATAATGATAGCAGCAACAGCATTAGCGGTTTGCCTTCTCCAGCCTGCAAACGCCCTCCTCCTCCTGGCTCTCTTCTCTCCTCAGTGGAATTGACAGAAAAGACTTGTACCCTGAAGGCAAATCCTGGGCTCTGGATTATATTGTCAGAATTCATTCAAATTCTTGCTTGAAACCTGGTTGTTTTTCAGGACTTGGGGCCTTCCCCTTGAAATAACACTATTGAAGGCTAAGCAGGTTTGATCTGTTTTCACATCTAGTTCTTTATTGATCATCGGCTCTAGAGGAAGCCAAGCAGAACCAGGTAAACAGGGAGAAGGGAAGGAACAAAAGACATCTCCCAGAATCCTCCTCTGCAGGCTGCACCGCTTCCCCCAACTCTCTGAAAATCTGCTTCTCGAAAATGACTGCCACCACATTGAGCCCTGTGACCCACATGCGTCACAGACCAGGAGACACTGGGCCCTAGCCAGTTCTTTCTCAACCTGGCTAACAATGCCAAAAAGAACATCTCCGTTTGGGGCCCACTGCTATCCCCGACTTGCTAATCACCTGCCCTAGTTGTGGGGGAGGGACTCAGGCAGTCATATAACCTTTAGCCTTCTGGAATTCAGTGGGGGAAGTTTTCATGAATAGGTGAAGGGATGTATTTTTCATTTGATAGACGTGGTTTAAAGTTTCCTTTTAGGAAATTCGGGTTTAAAAAGTGAGTTGGCTCAGGGAACCATGTTTAGTGAGTGACATCACATGAATTATAAAGAGGAAGTGTGGGAAACTTAACACTGAATCTTCTCATACCCTCAGGCACACAAAGGGCCACGGGACAGAAGACTCAGGTACCCTGGTGACCTGGAGAAACCACCTTTGGTCCTACTGTCATCTTCCCGCAGCTGAGAACGGACTCCTCAATCCTTCAGGATCTTACTCCGTGACGTGTATTCCTTCTCTAAATTCCACAACACGTTGGAATTATACTGCTAACTAACCCCGACCGCTGAGCAGGTGTTCTGAGCACGTTATGCAGCTAACCCGTCTGTAACAACCCTGAAGTCTTTTTTCCTTATCTCCTTTTTGAATAGGATAACTGAAACACCATGTCATGACACAGCTAGCCCAAGGCCACACGTCCTGTGAGTGGCAGAGCTGGATTGACCTGGAAGCCTGGGACTAGCATCCCTGCGCTTGGTGCTTGGCAGCATCTCCTGCCACCTGCCAGAGGATGTCCTGTGCTTGCCTGTCTCCCGCGCTAGAACAAAGGTTGCCCTCCAGGAGCAGGGACTGTGAGGCATCTTCCGTTACCTGCACCCAACTCTGCTTGGTTTCTGAAAGTGGTAAGAGCTGAACTCACTCATGGGTGTGACATCAACAGCTAACCCTGGGGAAGAAAGTGGAATACCAAGAGAGGGATCGCAAATGCCAGGGTGCTAAGGGCCGAGCTGTGTGGACAACTGGCCATGCCGGGTATGGATCCAGCGAAGCACAGGTCAAGAACGGGCAGTGTACATGAAGAGCATGTGAAGAACCTAGAAGGCCAGACTGAGGCTGGACTGACACCTTGGGGAGCCAGGGGAGGCTTTTCAGCTCTGAGCGTTTGATCACGTCTCCATCAAGCTTTGTCTCTGGATCAGGGACAAGAAACTGGGCAAATTCAGCAGCAACAGCTTTCCGGTGCCCAGGGTGGGGGTCCCCTGGTGACACCCGAAGACAGTGCTGAAAGACAGGACTCTGGTGGGGTGACTATTTCACACATTTTGTTGAAAACTTCGTGCACATAATAAATTTCAAAGAGTACAAATGTTAAGTGAAAAGGATTTGCCCCTGCCAACGCAGACCTCTCTGAAGAGGTCACCACTGCCAGAGGTTCCTTTTTATTTTAAAATTTATTTTTGGGGGGCCCAGTGCCGTGGCCTAGTGGCTAAAGTTCTTACCTTGAACACTCTGGGATCCCGTATGGATGCTGATTCTAATCCTGGCAGCTCCACTTCCCATCCAGCTCCCTGCGTGTGGCCTGGGAAAGCAGTTGAGGATGGCCCAAAGCCTTGGAACTTTGAACCCACACAGGAGACCTGGAGGAAGTTCCTGGCTCATGGCTTCAGATTGGCACAGCTCCAGCCCTTGAGGCTGCTTGGAGAGTGAATTGTCAGACAGAAGATTTTCCTCTCTGTCTCTCCTCTTCTCTGTATATCTGATTTTCCAATGAAAGTAAAAATAAATCTTTAAAAAAATTTTTTTTTGAGAGGGGGTAACAGAGTAACTCAGAAAGAAAGACCTTCCATCTCATGGTCGGTTCTCTCCGCATCTGATGGCTGTAGTGGCCCAGCTGGGCAAGGCAGAAGCCAGGAGCCAACAGCTTCATCTGGATCTCCCATGTGAGTGCAAGGGTCTAAGCTCTTGGGTCATTAAGTGCTGCTTTCCCAGAC